GAGATTGAACCCTCTGCACTCAGAATAGATCCATAAGACTAAGCTGGGAGCTGACGGCAAACAGGAACGCCACAAAGCGCGGCTCGTTGCGTGTGGCAACAAGCAAGTGCTCGTCTTGTAATACAGTCTTACGCTCGCGGTGGTGATGGACATCAGCACTGTCAAGGTGGTGCCAGCGCTCGCGGTAGTTTGGGTTGTGCCAGCCAAACTTGGCGACATCTCAAGCGCGTACGTAGAGGCGAACAAAAAAGGCCACCTCGAGATTTGCTTGCAAGTGCCGCGCGGGATGGACGTATCCGACGACATACTGCGCGAGCTCGGTGCTGCGATCTCGGGTAAGGTCTTCCTCGAGCTTCCCAAGAGCCTGAAGCAAGCGAGACGCCTCTGGATCCAACTTCTCCATGCGCGGCTTACGGACGCTGGGCTCTTTCGGTGTACTACCGACATGTGCGTATACTTTCGGCGTGATGACGAGGAGCTTTTGTCGTCGGTGTGTACGTCTGTGATCTATTCGCGACGGGAAAGAGCGCCGCGGCAGTGAAGAAGTTATTTGAGGATCTGGCGACGCTGCAGGACAAGGACCTGCGCCGCATGCATAAGTTTCTCGGCATGCGTGTCGAGCTTCGCCACGACGGAAGCTACTGCATTGATCAAGAAGAACCCTGAAAAATTTTCTGCGTGCGCATGGCATTACCGATGCCAATACGACGAAGACGACAACCGGTGATGAGTGCTACGAGGTGCTGACCGATGATGCTGTGCTGTTCGAGACAACGAGGGCGAGCGGCGGTCCGACGATCAAATCATTCGAGGCACTCGTAGGTAGCTTGTTATGGGTGTCGCGGTGTACGCGTCCAAACGTGGCATTTTTCGTTCATAAAGCGACCCGACAGAAGCACGCACCGCGCGTCCACGACTAGAAGCTTGCAGAGCGGATCGCCAGGTACCTTAAGGGCACCGCGACGCTCAATCTCACGATGGCACCTTCGCAAGCGAGCCGTTACGCGCTGCTGTTGGAGTCGTGCAGCGACGCCGACTTCGCGGCCGACAAGGCTGACCGTAAGTCGTTCGCCGGAGCAGTGGTGCTTTTAAATGGCATGGTAGTATCAGGGTGCACCAAAAAGCAAGGCGTCGTGTCACTATCCATCATGGAGGCGTAGTTTGTGGCTTCGAGCGAGGTCGCCCGCGATATCATTGGCCTGCGGCAACTATTGATGGAGATCGGCGTGGCACCGCTTGTTCCCATGCTTCTGCATGTCGACAACCAGGCTGCCATTAGCCAGATAGAGGGTGAAGCATCGATGAGCAAGGCGAAGCACATCGACGTGCTACGCGGCACATCTGGGCGCAGCACGTCCGCTCCGAGCTTATGCTCGCGGATCTGACAACGAAAGCGATGGACGCTGTCAAGCTCGCGACATTACGCAGCTTGATGAGCATGGCGTAAAAACCACTCCCTCGTGTATTCCTTACTTGATGAGCTGTCGAATTCAGCCACACTCAGAAGTTGCTTAAGCTCCTCAATAAATATAGCCCTAGTTGTCGAAGCGCAACCACAGGTTGTGTGATAGATGACCAAGTCATAAAAAGTTTGTCCATTAACAGTAAGTGTAGAACCTTCGTAAACTTCCGTTTGAGCTTGTCTTTGCCCCAGTCCGCGTCCGACAATTTCACAACGTCAACGTTCTTGAGACTAAGAAGTATGGTTTCTTTGTAATACGCAAACCCGAAATCTCGCGTACCTGATAGTTCTCTTTACTAGCTAGGCTTGCGCAGGAGTCGACAACATAGAACTGGTTTACATCAAAGGGCATCATGACCGTGAATGATGGAGGGCAGAACGATTCGCATACATGTGAAAGAGGAATTCAAGTAAAAGGAATATAATGGGTAGCGCTAAGTTAGTCGTTTATAAATTTACTAAGTCATGTACAAGCCGATTATTTCTGTTATCATGTACCTTAGTTATTCTGAACCTCATAGCAACCAATCCGCACAAGGTTTTGGGCCTATAGACTGTTCAGCCCGAGCATTTTGTGGACATAGCTTCAATTTAACTCCGACGGCACTTTTGCTTCTTCTTGCAGGTAATACGCTCGAGTAGAACAGACTAAATATGATTCTAAAAGCTTCGTTTGGCAAACCTAAAATAAAGCGAGCTCATCCTATACTCAAGCGTTAAGACTTTGTGAATGAGAAAGAAACAGCTGGCAGCACAATTTTGGCGCTACGCATTATCACCAGGTGTATCGCCAAGGTCAAGACAGCTTTTTAATCCGTCGGGATCTAATATAAAAAAGTTAATAAATGTACGCTGTCGCATTTGTATGCATTTCGCTTACCCTTTATTGTAACCGGAAAATCGACAGGTAATGGGGATCTTGTGCAAGAGGATTGTCTGTTGATGATTCATGAAAAAAAGTTGAGTAAGGCTTCGAGAATAAGTGGGAGGCAAAGCAACTAGAAACTTAGAAACAGGATAGTACATTTAATACCAATCGGTTTCTAAACAATCACCTACTGAGAGCTACCGCATCTGCTAAACGTGTATCAGCCCAACTGACGCGAGCTCCATTCCCAGCGGGTGCAAAAAGTCGTTTTCGCTGGCTTAAGGCAGAAAGAACCCAAGCAAGATAATAAAAAGGATGTGCATACACTTGAAATTGGTACAATTGAGGGGGAGTGTTAGAATAGCTATTGGCACACGGGCCACGTGGTCTCATACATCCTCGTGCAGTGGTGTAACAAAGGTTGTATACCCCAGGATAGCTTTGACGGCGCTCCAAGAGAACCAACTCCAGTCAGATAAGACGACGATTCCAAGCTGGCCGTGGCATCAACAGAATTTTATAATCTAATGAAATTTCACGAAACGGGTGGTCAGGATACGATCGACCTGTCGACCTCTGCGCACGTAATTTGCGTTTGGAAGGCTCGCAGCTGAAGTTTAATAAATACGAGAGAACTAAAGCGCAATGTTTCAATATGCGCTTGCCAGCGGTTTGCGGTAGTAAAGTGATACTTTGGACAATTTTCAGTGCAATTAAGAGGCAGCGCAGCCAGAATAGCGGGCATCCCAAGCAGCAGTAGATTTTTTTGCCATGAAACGCCCTCTGCTTCTGCAGATATAACATCTGCGCACCCTTTGCGGCTGCTGAGCTTGATGCTCTGCATCTTCTTCTTTCACTCGACTAAAGTCCATGGGTACAGATCCATCAGACGAGTAGTTATAAGTGGCAAGCCTAGCGGCCTCAAAGTTGGTCTCGGCATTCCATGCCACTCCAACAGCTTCCTCTAATGAGGACGGGTTTACCCGGAAGACTTCCGTTCTGGCAACGCCAACTCGGAGGCCCTCCATGAAGACCGTAACGGTCACTGCCTCAGGCATAGGGTCTATGACCATGAAAGCAATGAGAGTTCTCAACTCTTGCACATATGCCGCAAGCTCACGCTTGCCTTGGCGACATGCCAAAAACCGCGACCGATTACAATGTGCTTGGTTTGGCGGTGCATACTGCCGGGTCATCTGAACTTTCAGATCGGACCATGTGGGAAAAGCATCGTGCAGTGATGCACCACATGTGAATGCCCACTGTTTGGCTAAGCCACCTAACTTTCCCGTGGCAAATCTCGTACGGTTCATAGGTGATGTCGACTATAAACATAGCCAACTCAACCTGTCGGAACCAAAGCATAAGGTTGTCACCTTCTTTGCCGTCGAACTTATCGACTTCCATTTGTATGGGTTTTAGTCTGCGGACCACTTCGTGCACCATAGTCGCCATGGGCGAAGGCGCAGAAGAAGGCATCTGTGCCTTTACATGCTCAACTAGAGCTTTACTATATTCATCAAGCATATGAATACGCTTGTTAACCTCTTCTTCGCCTTGGTCGATGAGGTACTCCACGCCCTTAGGGCCAAGGAAAAGGAGCAGCTTCTGCAACCCTTCCTGTTGTGCCTGTGACAGGCCAATTGCTGACATCTCATCTATGTCCATTCTCAGACAGAGAAGTAGTCGCAAACCCAGGTGCGGGATTGACTACAAGTGCTACCAGTTGTAGCCGAGCTACTGTAGCCAAGATAATTATGCACTATGTGTAGAGGAAGACAAGCTCAGAGAGCTTCGACGTATTAGGGTGTTTAGCCCTCCCTAGGCTAGCTCGTAAGCTTGTGCCTATCGGTTGTTGCAACCGTGTCTCAACGAGACTAGTATCAAAGATATAGATTTCTCAGGAGGAATAGAAAGCTCAAGCAGTGATGCTTATAGAGCAGGTTTGAAACTGATTTATATTTATGTCTATCTTCTAACACTAAATATAGAAGCACCTACTCTATACTTAGTGCTAGTCACTATTTACTGGCTCTATAACCTATTATTATTATGCAAACATGCATAGTCACTATACTTTAAAAAAGTATATTGACCTGTTGGCTCTCTGCCACGATGCGATCCTTCGTACTTCAGATGCGGTCATATCACCTACGTTTGTACGCAAGGTACAGCCACACCACACTGGTGTGGCAGGTGTGTATATAAAATACACACCTTCGTGTAACCAAGTTACATTTAACTCGGAAATTTATCCTACTACTTTTGCTGCTGCCTTAGTCAAGTCTTTCTAGCAAAGGTCAACGGCAAATGAGCCGGTAACTTCAGATCTATCTGCGACCCTAATCACCACAAGCCTCTGCTTTGCGATCTGATCCCACCTGATATACATCTTTACGTGCGCCACCGTCTAGAGCAACTGCTCCACGTCGTATTGTTTTTACCAATGTTTACCCTCGTTCTTAGACATACGACCTTTTTGACCAATCCTCGCTTCGAATTACTTTTCTACAGCTGCATGCAACATCATATTATTTTAAGATTTTAAAGTATTCGCCTAAATTTCCCAAGAGCCCTAACGCGATTAATGCAGATGGAGGAAGATCCGAGCAGCCGATTCGTCGACTTTACAAACGCAACAGACCTGGAGCAGTATATCTCGTGTTCGATCTAGTCATAAAATTCGTCGTCGCTTGGACTGCCATCTGCTTCATTCTCGCCTTCTTCACTCTCCACTACTGGTGAGCTGTACGTAGTAGCATCTTCTCCGCCAGTACTTTCTCGTCTCTTGTAGTCCGTGCTAACCCTGCCGACTGAAGATGGCTTTAATTCTTGAGCTATTCTACAGTACAAAGTAAACAAATTTAAAGATTATGTTAGCCTAAAGCGCTTCATTACTACTTCAGCACAAGATTTACAAACAATATTTCTATCACCTGAAAATGCAACAGTTAAGCAATTGAAGCTTCTGGTGCAAAAGGCACTGGCGAAAGTCTAGTGGAGGAAGCTGTATCGCATTTGATTCCAGTAAAAACAATGTGTTTAAGAAATTTGGGCTTGTCTTGTGGTCACCGCCACCTTCATCTGTGCTGGTGCTCTTCAAGTTCAGCAGCATTTTGACACCACATAAACGTCAGTAGTCATGGTGTAATCATGCGGCAAGAGAAACCTTACCATGAACGGAAGTAGTTCCTGTTTAAGCCACCGTTCTCTCAACGCTTTTACAAATTTAACCCGCGATAACGACATAGAGTTGATACTGTCTGCTCATCACACACCGTTCGTAAGCGCATCATTATGTTTATCATGCAGGACGATATAGCTGTAGCTGAATGTACTTACAAAGTTGCGACATACTTGTCGCCAAAATAGACACAAGTTCTCCCAACGGTGCACCATGCTGAATTGAAGAGATGCTCGTCATTGCAGCACCTACATTGTCACTAAGCCTGCGACTGTATTCTTCATTTTCACCACCATCTTTATCTTGTTCGTTTTCGCCATCATTGAACAACTCGAACACAATCCGCCGAATTTCCTCTAAGTCTGAGCCTTTCCACGAGGCAGCCGATACAAAGCTTGAAATGGCATTGCTGAGCACAAAAAAACAGCTGCACGGGCGGCAGATATGGACTCCGGAACGGTTGACAAGAGCTGTGTTTGAGCAGCCTCTCCGCATTGACCGGCACTTGGTGTGTTTAGTGCCTTAGATGGTGAAAATAGAAGTGGCATAGGAGGCGACAACTCGGATCCCATAATGTCCTTGTGCAACTCTCTAGAGTTGGAACAGACTTGCACAAGGATTGCAACTCGCTTGCTGAGCAGCAATCGCGGTTTCTCTGGTTTTCAGACGTCAGGCCTTGGAAACGCACGGTCAACATTCATAAAGGTGCTAAAGAAAGATCCAGTGTTGAGTGCACCGCGTTGTCTACGTACATACCTTCACGCAGCTGTGGCCAGCTGATGTAAGATCCATTTTATCCAAAGGAGAAGTGGAGCTACCCAGCAATGGAATAGGGTGGTTTTCGCCAAAGAGCTTATTTCTGATTCGGGGACTTTGGTTATTAGTCTCAGTCAGCTGCTGGGACTCCAATGATCTCCATGCTAGAGGATTCTCCGATATCGCTACTTCACGTGGATCATTCGTTCGATTCCATGAAAAGGCAAACGATGCTGATACTGTCATACTAATTGCAAGGTCCTCCGACTTATCTGTCTCAATACGACACTTTTCTTTCACGTGCGGCGACGACTGCAACTTGATTTTGAAATAGTCGAGCAGACCGCTGATGTAGCTATGATTGAAGTTCAGTTCTGAAATAGATTCTGTTTCAAACGACATTGACACGTTGCCTGGGGCTTCAGGAACTGCTAATCCAATCCACGTGCCATGAGACGGCTCAAACACTGGTACAAACGCGGGAATCGTGCGAATTACAGTTGTTTAGCGCCATGTTCAGCGCCGACAGCAGCATCCCTCTTTCGTTCTGATTAACTGAAATATCTGCCATTACGCCTTTATCCTGTCCATTGCAAGCGTCCTCCTCTTTTTTCACTCTGAGATGGTTTTCCTTCTATTGAGTTCCATGAAAATCCTTTATTAACGTCTCCATCATTCTTAACACTAGTTTCTCTTGCATCCTTTCTGCTGCTTTTCCGTCCCATATCAAGACGACTTGCTAAGTAACAAAAACTCATCCAAACCAAACCATTTTTTGAACGTTTTTAACGACTGTTGCCGATAGAATTGCGGTTTCACGTCTGCCTCAAAGGCCGACGCGGAGAGCGAGATACTCGTTCCTGTCTCCTTTTCCTTCTCAATCTCAGACATTTCAATCCCCCTCATTTCCCACAGATAGTCTTTACTGGCATCATCTACTGAAAGCATTGTCGGTGTAAAATACTCAAGCCCGTTTGCCATTTCTTGAGTTCCCAGTAGCGTTTTAAACGGAAGCATTAGGCTCTTCGTTCTGCCGTGTGTCGTGGTGTCTGGC